ATCAAATTGTGTTGAGAGAAAACTGCAAATGAAAATTAAAGAAAACAGACTTTAAACTAAATCGATAGCTCAAAGAAAACTAAAACAGCTAACAAGTAAACTTTAATCTAAAGAAACTCCTTCCAGCTGCAGCACAGATCCTTCTCTTCAGAGTTCAGAGCGAGGAAACACCTGGAATATCACACAAGAAACAAAGATATCAGGGTTCAAAGTTCATGTCAGGTTGCATCTATGAGTAATTTACAGCTAGGATTGTACAAAACATGAAAAGTAAAATGGGCCATTCTGATACATTAATAATATTTAATTAAGTCAAAATAATCTCTACATCAACATCAAAGAGAGTGTTAAGATTAAAATTTAAAAGTTTGTAGCATCATGCAAATTTTGAATATGATATATAAAGAATATGACTATATGTGACTCAAACGGTTAAAATAAAAGAGCCAAGAAACATACTCACCAAATGTTGAAGTGAGGCAGCGTGGTGTAGCAGACATGCTAACAGCTCTTCATCTTGTTTTGGTCAGGCTGCCCCTAAAAGTGTTAAAAAAAGAAACACATCACAATTAGTTTAAACTTCAAAATGTTTGTTTTTGGAGACAAGTCAATAAAAAAGAACTGATTTATGAAAGTTAACATTCAGTTTGTTATAATGTCACATTGGGCCTGTTTTTTAGGAAAGTAACTACTGCTGTGTCCATTCTGCATCACATTGACTTCAGTACCTGGGGGGGAGAGAGAGAGAACATCTGTGATCAGGTTCAGCTGCAGTGCATTAGTCCTTAATGTCGTTGGTTATCTGCCAGCTGTGTTTTAATTAGTTATAGTAGTTTACATGTTTATTGTTGGCTGATAAATCTGTCGCCCAAAAGGAGAAGTCAATCAAATCCTTTTAAGGACCAAGACCTTCAACCTCATCATACAGAGCACTGATAATAACTTTAATTATCTGCTCTCTCTCTCTCTCTCTGTGTGTAGAGCTGCTGGTTGAGTGTGTGAAGAACAAAGACTTAAAGAAGGTGAGTGACAGTTTCATCTCTCACTGCAGACCTTTGCACCTCATTCCTACATACTCACATGTGTCTTTCAATTTAATCATCACCTGAAGGGAGCCCCACCTGAAGGGAGCCCCACCTGAAGGGAGCCCACCTCACCTCACTCGACTCGTCCGGCTGCAGTTGACGTCATCACGCTGCCAGTGCAGGAAGCAAAGAGATGGTCCTCTACATCCTCCACAGGTGTGTGTGTGCAGTCCTCCACATGTATGGTGCACGTATGGAGTGAGTCAGGATGTTAGTTACTCTTTTCATTTATTCACCACATTGAATAAAGGAGTGAAAACTACGACACACAAGAACATTTAGTTTAGTCATTACCAAAGTTCTAAATTCAAACAATAAACTAATACAAGACAAAAGAAAGCTTAGTTGTTAACTTCAGTAAAGTGAAGGAGCTTACATTTCTGTTGCTGCCTGCTCTGTGCAGCTTTGAAGATTAAAGAAGGAACCCTCCACTTCCTGCTTCCTTTATAGGCAGGGCTTGATCAGTCACTTCCTGTAGCAGTCTCTGACAGGCCAACAGGGGGTGCCATTGCACCATGCGTAGCTCATTAAAAGACTCCTTAGTTGTTGTTGTTTTTTACGATTAATGAATGTATGTGGGTTCTTTTCAACAGAGGAATATGATGTTTTTTTCTTTCTTTCTGTATTCTAGTGTTTGAATAAATGGGAAACTTTCAATGACAGGCTTGTAAAACAATAAGTCAGTTCAATCAATCTTTATTTTATAGAGCGCCAACTCAATACAAATGTTATCTCAAGACACTTTACAAACAGCAGGTAAGAGAGAGTCTTGTCTGGGTTAAAGGCAGGGTTGATCATTTTCTAAAAGTAGCATTCCCCCAGTGCTGCGTCTGCACCCACCCCAGAAGTGGACCTCAGCTCATTGCTTGCATTGTCAGGACCAAAAGACAATTTCAACCACAATCTTAAAAAGTGGATCTGGAGAAAATCACCAACCCTGCCTTTAAGTAGTTTTTAGTCGCTACAGAAAAACTGCAGTAAGTACAGATTCTATTTGTGCTTGAAAACATCGAAGTAGAGCAGCGTCTGTCAGGAGTAAAGGGAGCTGAGATGAACGGTTTTACATGCATGGCCGTTTCATGTGATGGATGATTTAAACTTGACCAATGTGGTCATTTTTGTGTTGAGTTTTTTTTTTTTCGAACATTGAACTGAAACCATGAGGTTTTTAAAATGCTAAACACTTTATTTAAATGTTAACAGAGTGTAGATGATGATGATACTGTTGCCTGTATCTGTGCTCTGATCTCTGTTCAGTCTATATGTGATGATATATGTGCCATCATAAACACAAGACACCAAAAGAAGCAGCAGGGGGGTTGATGTCTGTAACTAAACAAAACTACAGACTGAAAGATAAAAACAACAAACTAAGAAGACAAACTACGACTGAAAGAAAACTGCACAGAAAAGCTACAAGACAGCAGCTAAAAGGTAAACAAAACTAAACAACAGCTAAAAGGTAAATAAAGCAACAGCTGAAAGGTAAACAAAAGCTAAAAGGTAAATAAAGCAACAGCTAAAAGGTAAACAAAAGCTAAAAGGGAAATAAAGCAACAGCTAAAAGGTAAATAAAACAACAGCTAAAAGGGAAATAAAACTAAACAAAAGCTAAAAGGGAAATAAAGCAACAGCTGAAAGGTAAACAAAAGCTAAAAGGGAAATAAAACTAAACAACAGCTAAAAGGTAAATAAAACAACAGCTAAAAGGTAAATAAAACAACAGGTAAACTAAGACAACAAGTTCTTCATCCAGCCTTCTGTGTTTAATTTACTCAAAGAAACAGCAGTCTAATTCATTTATTATTTAAGTGCAGTAACCAACAACTAACCACCAGAGGGCGCCCTCTCCATATAAAGTGATTTATAAACGATATAATACATTTATTTTCAACCTATAACTTTTAATTAGAGTCTTACATCATTGTTTGATAAATTATTTATGTTAAACCTTTTTTTAGTCGCTTTAATTTTACTTTTCAAACTTACTTTTTAATCAATTTAATTCATTTATTGTCATTTGGTTTTCTTAATGAAAATACCACAAACCTTTTTATTGATTTAATTGAAATGGTCAATTTGTTTGAATTTATTTGAATTTAATTTTTTTTACTTTAAAGACTTTTACTTTAGGAGCACTCAAGCGTGTGCATCTAATTTACAGCTAGGATTGAACAATACGTGAAAAGTAAATGAGCCATTATGATACATTACTCATTTTAAATTAACTGTTTTTTTCAACTGAAAATACTTCTTACCTTTGTGAAAGAAAAGTCAAATAATATTGTTGCAACGAGCGAAGCAAATACAAGGAGGACATCAGCAACCTGTACAAACAGCTGGATGACAAGAATAGACTAAAGTCAAAGACAAGACACAACATTAGAAGCACAGTTTGGAGACAACCTGCTTAAAATACTTTCATTTTCTCAATTATTATTACTGAATGTCATTTTCTTATTTTCATTTAAACATGGATTTCATAAGGATGATCATTTTTGCATGAACTCACTCTGACCCCACGTCCCTCCCAGGAGAGAGAGCGACATGATGGAGACAAGGACATCAAGGTGAGGACACAAACACACTTTGTATTGTCTCTAATCTGTTTATACATCTCCACAAAACTCTGGAGGAGCAGCTGGAGAACCACCACAAGCAGCTCAGCCGCCTCAGAGACCAGATCCAAGACAAGCAGAGGATGATGGACGAGCTCCTTCTTGTTTCAACCAGGGCCTGTTACTGGAGCAGGAGAGACTCATGACAGAAGCTCATGTATGTACCAGCTAACACATCTCACCACATTTTCTGTCCAGACTGCTGAATGATCACAGGGAAAACCAAACCCTGGGGTATTCCAAACTAACGTGCAATGGCACATAAAATACATAACCAATATAACAGCATAACAACAACAAGGCCCCCAGATCCAAGTGTCATGTCATTTAAAAACCCAACAGTCTGCAGAAGTCTGAACTCTGCATGCAGAGGGTGCTGCACGTAGTGTTGTAGTCATGACCACACTAAGACCAAGACCACAAATATCTTTGTGTGCAGGGGACGTTTTACTCACTTGGACCATAACACCGGGAAGGTTGTGGTCGTAACTAAATCAAACTATAAATGGAGTTAAGTTATTTCTTGTTTTTTCCTTCTAGTCCCGAGACCTTCAAGGAGTCTCAGGGAGCACATGAGGGTGTTCCAAGACTTCTGATTGGCCCTTATTTTAAAAAATAACTGTATTTCTCCGCCTGTTTTTGTTAACGATGCTGAGGTTCCTACAAACATCCATTCAACACAACCACATGTAATCAAATCATTTGTTTTAATGATCACCTGTCTGTTTCTCTCGTCGGTTTTCTTATATCTGTAGCTCTGGATTTATCAACAGGAAGTGCTCTGGAGTGCAACAGGAAGTGCTCTGGAGTGCAACAGGAAGTGCTCTGGACTTAGCAACAGGAAGTTATAAAGGAAACAGGAAGTGGAGGGTTCTTTCTTTAATCTGCCCACAGCAGGCAGCAACAGCAATGTAAGTTCCTTTACTGAAGTTAAGGTTTAGCATCAGCATGTAGCTTAGCATTAGCCTTGTTATTTATTGCATCTGATGTAGCATACCATGTGGTTTAGCATTAACATGTGGCTTAGCATTAGCATGTAGCTTAGCATTAGCCTTGTTATTTATTGCATCTGATGTAGCATACCATGTGGTTTAGCATTAACATGTGGCTTAGCATTAGCATGTAGCTTAGCATTAGCCTTGTTATGCATTACATCTGATGTAGCATACCATGTGGTTTAGCATTAACATGTGGCTTAGCATTAGCATGTAGCTTAGCATTAGCCTTGTTATGCATTGCATCTGATGTAGCACACCATGTGGTTTAGCATTAACATGTGGCTTAGCATTAGCATGTAGCTTAGCATTAGCATGTAGCTTAGCATTAGCATGTAGCTACCGTATCTGTCGTCTATCTGCAGCTGTACTGAATGAGGTATTTTAATCCTCTGCATCTTCAGTGTCACAGTAACTTTGTCTGTTTGGTGATGTTGGATTAGCAGAGTTTAATAATACACACATACACACACACACATATATATATACACACATATACATATACATATATATATACATACATATACATATATACATATATATATACACACACACAGTGGTAACATGTTTTTATTTCTTAACACAAGGCTTTAAACAGAAAGAAGACGATTGAAACAGCTTGAACAAACTTCTTATTTTATTTATTATTAAATTAATAAATATTTATAATATTAATCATTTCTAATATATTTTTAAATATTATAAAATATTTTATTTTTTAACAGTTTTTATTTTTACTGAATTCCCCAATTTAAATGCAAATCAAACATTTTTAACATTCTCTCTCTCTCTACAGATAGATGATCCCACACCTGTGCACCTCATTTCTACATACTCACCTGTGCATGCTTTGCTATGAGGATTGTCTTTGTTGGTCCAAACTAAATCGAAACATTGTCTTTCAATTGCAGGAGCTGCACCTGAAGGGAGCAAAGAGATGGTCTGCCACATATTCACCACATTGAATAAGGACTGAAAACTACAAGACATAACAATAAACTAATACAAGTTTTTGCTAATGCTAACCTACATGCTAATGCTAACCTACATGCTAAGCCACATGGTATGCTACATCAGATGCAATACATAGAAAATTATAACAATGCTAATGCTAAGCTACATGCTAATGCTAAACCTTAACTTCAGTAAAGGAACTTACATTGCTGTTGCTGCCTGCTGTGGGCAGCCTTGAAGATTAAAGAAAGAACCCTCCACTTCCTGTTTCCTTTATAACTTCCTGTTTCCTTTATAACTTCCTGTTCCCTCAATGACCTACAGAGAGGAGAGTTGTCTTCTTGATCTTAACATATCAGATAAAAACTGACTTCACTGATGCTCCATATTTTACTTTATTACTATTTACTTTATTTTACATATTGAACATTGTCCATTTACTATTCTGTTTTTGTACATTTACATTTAATCTTTATATTTAAGACTAGTAATGTTAAATTAAGTCCTGGTTGTATATATTCTCATTCTTAGTTTTGATATTTTTACTACTTATTTACTTTGTATTTAATATTATATTGTGTTTAGATTTGCTAACATTGTGTTTTTTACTCATATTGTGTGTTAGATAACCTGCTGCTGTAACGCCACAATTTCACAGTTTGGGATCAATAAAGTCATTCTATTCTATTCTATTCTATTCTGAACTTTCATCCAACACTTTTAAATAAAAGGCTCAGACATGTTAACAAAACTTCACACACTTCATTTTCTCCATAAACCCCTACTTGTGTTACTCTCCAAACACCAGGGGGAACTTTGCCCCCCCCCCAGTGGTTCCCAATGCTGCTGATTAAAGAATCCTCAACCTAATTTGTGAAATGTCCACATCAATTCTTTCTTGCTGTTATCACATCATGTATACAGTGTCTCTACTTTAACTAATCAAGTCATTATAATGGTTATGAGTAAGCTAGTTACAGTATGGTTATAAGAAAGGCAGTTACATTAACCAAGCCAACACTCTCAACTAACTTTCATCAACATTCTTCAAAAAGTGTCTGAAAAAAAGTTCAGCCACACTTGATTTCTTTTTTCATAACCCCCTACTTATGTTACTCAGGAAACACCAGGGGGAACTTTGCCCCCCTAGCGGTTCCAGGCCCCGATGCCGTGGAAGCCGGAATTGAACCAGCACGTACCCGTTGCAGATGCAAGGACGATCCCACTCGGCCACCGGCCCCTTCACACTTGGAGATGTGTTCCGGGCGTATTTATCATCGTCATTTCGACTTTAAAATTTGCCTGATAAGATTCAAACCCTCCACCACCAGACACAGTGGGATTTGAACCCAGGCTCCCCACCTACAGAGCTTGGAAACCACAATCTTATCCACTACACTACTGATCCCTTCACACTATGACATGAGCTCCGGGCGTATTTATCTTCATCATTTCAGATGTTGGACTTTAAAATTCACTCAGTCCTGATAAGATTTGAACCCACAACCTCCAGAGTCCAAGTCCTCCTTCTATCTCCTGAGCCACAGAGACAGATACTTGATTATGTTTCTCAGATCTCTTCAGTCTTTCCTTTGGACCAACACCTTTAAGAGAATGGTGTGTGTGTGTGTGTGTGTGTGTGTGTGTGTGTGTGTGTGTGTGTGTGTGTGTGTGTGTGTGTGTGTGTGTGTCTTTTAGGACCGACACCTTTAAAATTCACTGAGTCCTGATAAGATTCAAACCCACAACCTCCAGACTCCAAGTCCTCCTTCTATCTCCTGAGCCACACAGACAGATGCAGACTTTGTTTCTCCAGCTGGATCTGTGTGTAGTTTTGTTCAAGTCTAAGATTGTTTTTTTTTTAAATATTTGTTAAATAAATGATTTATTGGGGGGTGACGTCCTGCATTTGTTTGGCTTCCTGACTTGGCAGAAAGTAGGCGGAGTCAGGAAGGCCATTAGTCCAACTGGATACACCTGAGTCCATCAGGACTCTGCTTCTAAGTGGCTTCCAGTCTAACTTGTCTCCCCTCTCTTTCTCCCAGGCCTCCACCAACTGCTTTACTTTTGTTCACACTTTCCAACACTACACTCATCCATACATTGTATTCATGACTGATTTACATAATTATCATTATTTGATAATAAATTCACTTCCTTTTAAACCTTGTTTCATGTGTGATACCCTTCCTTTGTCACGTCCTGTAACAACTCTAAAATGAAGGATGTTATGATGTCACAATTATAGGAGAATATACATATATTTAAATCATCATATACAAACACTTTTTAATGTAAAAACTACCTCATGTTTACAGTATTATCCTATTTATCCTTGTACATATTTGTTTATTGTTGATATTTAATATTATACCTTTGTACAAAGACAGCACAGTTTACAAAAGTAAACTTGTGTTTAAGCATACCTGGACAATAAAGCTGATTCTGAAGGATTTCTGTGGCTTTGATAACTGTTGGAAATAAACTCCTCAAAAAGTTTGGAAACATTATTTTTTCAATTATTTCACCCCTTTAATAAAACTAATCGGTGTTGTATTTTATATCGTTGGAAAGCCTGATGAGTCACCTTTACAACGAGGTATAACTTGTAAGGATCGAGCAACGCAGCTAAACGTTTGAGTAGCGCTCTAAAAAAATGTTCCAAAATGGACACAGCAGTAGTTTTATTACAATAAAATATTGAACAGACATCATGACCTCTGTGTTTTGTACATGTTACATCAGCACAATACAATAAGGTGTCACAGGTGAGGGGGTTACATCCAGCCAGTCCCCTTCCCCCCACTATCCTCCAGCTCCATTGGGTAGGAGCTCAAAAGCTTTCTTAATGTTGTTTTATGTTCCAGGTTGATGTTCCTCCACTCTAAATTGACTTCTTAGTAGCTGATTCAAATAACTGAGTCTAAACATCTATAAGACCTAAAACCTGGAACATAACAAAACAACATCAAGAAAGCTTTGAGTCTCCTACCTGAGCAGGAAGACGGTCACCGACGGGGGATCCTCCTGGAAGACGTCAACAGAGTTCCTGTTGGAGAAGAAAAACTAATTTTAGTTCATCAAGTTAATAAAACTCAGAAAATGTTTGTGATTATACAACATTGTGATGATTGGAATAAACCTGGGGCGGGGAGGTTACAGATGTTGAGACTGTGAAAGATGTGTGTGTGTGTGTGTGTGTGTGTGTGTGTGTGTCCGTTCTCACAGCTGTGTTGACGTCACTGGTGCCGATGATGGCGCTGATGTCACTGAGGTCTCGTAGCAGCAGGTTGAGGACCTCGGTAGCTCTCTTTCTCTGCAGACTGTTCAGCTCAGACACACACACACACACACACACACACACACACACACACACACACACACACACACACACACACACACACACACACACACACTGACTGTGTTGGTTGATCTCATCATCCTGTGAATTATTACAAGAAAAGGACATCAAGTAATAATAATAATAATTGAGAAAATGAAAGTATTTGTATTTAGTTTGAATCTTTAAGCAGGTTGTCTCCAAACTGTGCTTCTAATGTTGTGTCTTGTCTTTGACTTTAGTCTATTCTTGTCATCCAGCTGTTTGTACAAATAATCAGATTTAATCAAATTGATCATTTCAATTAAATCAAGAAAAGTTTGTAGTATTTTCATTAAGAAAAACTAAAAACTAATTTAATTAGCTAAAAGGTAAAAATGCAGCTTTAATATAAATCATTTACCATACAATGATGTAATCTTAAATATCCAATTACTTTATTGACTTACAAAATTAACTGTCACAAGAACAAAAACTCTAATTAAAGGTATAGGGTGAAAATAAATGCATTATATCGTTTATAAATCACTTTATATGGAGAGGGCGCCCTCTGGTGGTTAGTTGTTGGTTACTGCACTTCAATAATAAATGAATCAGACTGCTGTTTCTTTGAGTAAATTAAACACAGAAGGCTGGATGAAGAGCTTTTACTTTTAGATTAAATAAATGAAGTCTTTTCATATTACTTGAGTAAGATGAACATTTAATCTCTGAGCTCTGTGAACAGTAATGTTTAGAAAATCATTTTACCTCTGAGCTGCAGCACAGAGCGAGGAAACACCTGCACACACCTGTACAAAGAAACAAGAAGAAAACCCTGCATTCTGAGTTCAACCAATGCTTCTTTTCGCAGTATTTTCATCCAAACTCGGACACCCGTCATCCGCTCGAGTGGTCCAGGGTCGATATTAAACTTTGGCGCACCTGAGGAGCACACCTGAGCGTGATGCGCAGCAGCGGAAGTGACGTCGATTTGTCACTCTCAGTAAAGCTCGTATCGACGTAGAGAACTCATTGTGAATGAGGAGACACAATAACAATAACAAAATTAAGTAAAACACCGAAAATAAATAAAACATTCAGTTTTAGATTCATAATCTACAAATGTGGATAGATACTGTTGTTGAAATGATTTGTCTACTAGTGAAATGATCCAAACACTCCTGCTATTATACCAAAGGAAACACTAATATTTTACTGACTTTAAAAACACATGTTCAATCTTGTGGTAGTTATAGGTGTAGTCACTTTAATTTCCAACAATTTTACAAATTATTAAGTCTTTTCATTTAGTTTGTTTTAACCTATTCTTAGATAAGTATAAAAGATGGTTAAAAATAATTTAAATAATCGGAATTCAAACAATGTTGGTAGGTAACTGCACTATTTATATTTTTCCACACATTTATGTGGTGGAAAAAAAGGTTAAAAAGAGGATAAATTTCTGTTATAGTGACTGTTGGATGTAATTGCAACCCAGTGCCAGCAGAGGGCAGCAGTGTAATATGAATGCATGATGCAGCGGTTAATTAGGCCTGACCTGTTAACCTCCAGGTGAGTTATATTGTAATATTTACAGTCTATGGTTGTAAAGAGCAGAAGTTACATTACAGCCAGCCCGATTGAAGATGGAATATCTGCCTCTTATTTAGCCTACCAATCAACATTAAGGCTTGTGTTGATGTGAGATATCGGCGCCCTCTGGTGGTCAGAAGGGCTTACGGCAGCGCTCTATAACACTGTTTATACTAATACACACATTTTTTAAATAAATAATCAAAATACACTGAGTTTACTGCACACTTCAAGTTTACTTTTTCTTTAAATTTTATTTTATTTTCCATGTTTTGTACCTTTTTGCACTATTTAGAATTTATTACTGTAAATATTATTTATCTATCTATTATTTTACTCTATCTATTTTACCTTATTTTGGTTGTATTGCACCGTGGGACGGAGACAAACGCAATTTCGATTCCACACATTTTGAAATTGACAATAAAGTTGACTTTGACTTGACTTTGTTTCATTTCAGACCTTTATTTCAGCCTCATTGAGGTTTCCTTTGTTTACAACGACATCTAGTTACAAAGAAGAGCAGAAATAAAACACCAGAGACGGGTCAGGATGATCCTCAGTAAAAACACCAGGCACCATTATAGAAATAATAATAATACTTTCAGGGATTTATTTCACATTATTTGAACAACAATGTTCATCAGGGAAATTTGAACAAACTGAATACAGAGAAAGAATCAGTGCCCTCCACTGGCACTAAAGAGTTCAGTTTTTTCTACAAACACAAGAATCTTCAGTCTGATGAGGTTTTTAAACTCATATGTCTGTCTCCTTTATTGATACGTGTTTGTGTCCTCAGAGGAGCTGCAGACACGACCTACACGAAGACGAGAAGAAGAACAAGACGGACATATCAATAAAAAAGTTTGTTTTGCCTTTAATTAGCTTTGATAACTCTGAAATAACATTACGATTTTTATTTCTGACTAAATAATATCAGATAAAACAGATAGTATGAAAAGTGCTGCAGTTACTCCCTCTGACCACAGGAGGGCAGTAAACATTAGAGTTATTTCCGTGGTGACTAGTACTTAGAGGTTTAATAATCCGAATATAATGCGGGGAAGGAATGTAATTGTAAGAATTATTTTCAGTGTTGTAGTTACTGACAGTGACCACAGGGGGGCAGTGATGATCACAGCTCTCTCTATCTGTTTGTATTAGTGTTGTTAATGATCATTAAATGAATAAAGTCTCATGATATTGAAGTTTTTGTTTCCATAAAAAGACATCATGCAGTTCATCTTCTCACCACGAGAGGGCGCCGGATCCTCATCAACTTATAGAAACTCTGAATAATAAATACAAATAAATAAAATACTTCTGAAGTCTGGCACAACAAAAGGCACACATTTAAGACTTTTAATTTAAATACAAATAAATGTTTATAAACAGTTCAATAATACAATAAAATGTACAGTATGGGTAAAAAGGTGCTGAGCTTATCCTGGTGGGATATTTGTTAATGTAATGTGTATTTTGATAATGTTTTCTTTTAATTTATGTTTAATCTAAATTAGCTCAATGAGCTGTAAGATGTACTCACATCAAATATTTTAATCATAATCAAAAAAGCAGTTTTAATCAAATTGATCATTTCAATTAAATCAATAAAAAGGTTTGTGGTATTTTCATTAAGAAAACCAAATGACAATAAACTAATTAAATTGATTAAAAAGTAAGTTTGAAAAGTAAAATTAAACCTAAGAAGAAAAGGTTTAAGGTAAAAATGCAGCTTTGATACAAATAATTTACCAAACAATGATGTAAGACTCTAATTAAAGTTATAGGTTGAAAATAAATGTATTTTATCGTTTATAAATCACTTTATATGGAGAGATCGCCCTCTGGTGGTTAGTTATAAAAATTAAAATAAATGTATTTTATCGTTTATAAATCACTTTATATGGAGAGGGCGCCCTCTGGTGGTTAGTTATAAAAATTAAAATAAATGCATTTTATCGTTTATAAATCACTTTATATGGAGAGGGCGCCCTCTGGTGGTTAGTTATAAGAATTAAAATAAATGTATTTTATCGTTTATAAATCACTTTATATGGAGAGGGCGCCCTCTGGTGGTTAGTTATAAAAATTAAAATAAATGTATTTTATCGTTTATAAATCACTTTATATGGAGAGGGCGCCCTCTGGTGGTTAGTTATAAAAATTAAAATAAATGCATTTTATCGTTTATAAATCACTTTATATGGAGAGGGCGCCCTCTGGTGGTTAGTTATAAGAATTAAAATAAATGTATTTTATCGTTTATAAATCACTTTATATGGAGAGGGCGCCCTCTGGTGGTTAGTTGTTGGTTACTGCACTTCAATAATAAATGAATCAGACTGCTGTTTCTTTGAGTAAATTAAACACAGAAGGCTGGATGAAGAGCTTTTACTTTTAAATTAAATAAATGAAGTCTATTCATATAACTTGAGTAAGATGAACATTTAATCTCTGAGCTCTGTGAACAGTAATGTTTAGAAAATCATTTTACCTCTGAGCTGCAGCACAGAGCGAGGAAACACCTGCACACACCTGTACAAACAAACAAGAAGAAAATACAGAATTTTGCTATACAGAAGTAACTGCACTATTTATATTTTTCCACACATTTATGTGGTGGAAAAAAAGGTTAAAAAGAGGATACATTTCTGTTATAGTGACTGTTGGATGTAATTACAACCCATCGCCAGCAGAGGGCAGCAGTGCAATATGAATGCATGATGCAGCGGTTAATTAGACCTGACGAGGCTGTTAATCTCCAGGTGAGCTATGTTGTAATATTTACAGTCTGTGGTTGTAAAGTGTAGAAGTTACATTAAAGCCACAAAGAGTTAAAACCTTCAATATCATGTAGATCATTTGAAGCACAACAAAGCATTTAATTATTATAAAATATATACTTTAAAACACTTTGCTGCTGTTATTTTTAATCATGGGGAACTTCATCACATAAATAAATGGAGCAGACAGCTACAGTAGTATTACTTGTTTTTTTATTTTGAGTTTGTTTATGATTATTTCCTGATGTTTGTTGCTGTTTTTGTTGTTGTAGGCCATGTCCCTGCCTGTTGTTGTCATCTCTAACGTCTGTCACCTCCATCCTCTGGTACAACATGCTGACCTCCGAGCCCAGGGTACACAACCAGGACTCTCAACACAGAAAATGTTTGTGATAATACAACATCATGATGATTGGAATAAACCTGGGTTTTATCATTCACTGTAAATGATCTGTGTTTAACTTCACTTTAAGGGTTTTGGATGAGACCGAAGCAAACTTAAATTCAAAGTTTAAATGTAGAATATGAAATAGAAACATTGAGTATAAGGTCTTAAGAAACATCTAAACAGATTTATCTTATATTATAAGTCTTACAATAATTCTACAAGTTTGTTTACCTTTAACTTGTGTAAGCTTTTGGGGGAAAGAAAATGCTGAATACATATATATGATATATATTCAGAGTTGTAATTAATCTGTGATATTATCAATGAACTGAATATAATCGAGAACATAAGGTAGGTGAAGAAGAGTTATGAGCATATGAAAGTTAATAAAATCAAGGCAAGGAAAATTTTAACTTGTAAATGTTTCCTTTTAATTTATGTTTAATCTAAATTAGCTCAATGAGCTGTAAGATGTACTCATATCAAATATTTTAATCATAATCAAAAAAGCAGTTTTAATCAAATTGATCATTTCAATTAAATCAATAAAAAGGTTTGTGGTATTTTCATTAAGAAAACCAAACGACAATAAATTCATCAAATTGATTAAAAAGTAAGTTTGAAAAGTAAAATTAAACCTAAGAAGAAAAGGTTTAAGGTAAAAATGCAGCTTTGATATAAATAATTTACCAAACAATGATGTAAGACTCTAATTAAAGTTATAGGTTGAAAATAAATGTATTTTATCGTTTATAAATCACTTTATATGGAGAGGGCGCCCTCTGGTGGTTAGTTGTTGGTTACTGCACTTCAATAATAAATTAATCAGACTGCTGTTTCTTTGAGTAAATTAAACACAGAAGGCTGGATGAAGAGCTTTTACTTTTAAATTAAATAAATTAAGTTTATTCATATAATTTGAGGAAGATGAACATTTAATCTCTGAGCTCTGTGAACAGTAATGTTTAGAAAATCATTTTACCTCTGAGCTGCAGCACAGAGCGAGGAAACACCTGCACACACCTGTACAAACAAACACAAGAAGAAAATACAGAATTTTGCTTTACAGAAGTAACTGCACTATTTATATTTTTCCACACATTTATGTGGTGGAAAAAAAGGTTAAAAAGAGGATACATTTCTGTTATAGTGACTGTTGGATGTAATTACAATCCATCGCCAGCAGAGGGCAGCAGTGCAATATGAATGC